GTGCGGAATTCTGCAAGTCCATGATTTTTCAGTACCACCTCGGTTCTTGTGGGTGTTCTAAAGTCTGGTCGGCTTCGAGTCAGTCAAAGGTTGGATGGTTTCGAGGTGGTTTCAGTTGATGTCGTGGAGGGGGGTGCTCATCGAGCGGAGGTGGGATCAGGAAGAGCTTCGAATCGGCCACTCCCATGCCAACGGCGAATATTTCTCGACCATCCAGGATGGAAAGCAGGTCTACGAGAAGGCGGAGCAAGATGCTCGGATCTTCTTGTCGTCAGAGAACCGCTGGGTGCTTCGAGTTGATGATGACTCGTATGTTGGGTGCGGGCAGTACTTTGCACCGGGCCAGGAAGCACCGCCTCTGGGCAGTTGGCAGTGGCAAGGTGGCTTCGACACAGCTGCTCACCACGCGACGGTCTCCGCTTGCAACCAAGGCATTTCTCTCGTGGTGCTCCCATTGGTGGCCCTTCTGCTTGTTGGGCTCCTCCTCCACACAGGCATGTGCATCCGACAGATCCTACGAAAGGAAGTGAAGTGGGGAACTGTTTGAGAGGTTCTCCAGACGGTTTCACTCGCGGTACTGGCATCTGTTTGAGCCAGCTCCTTGGCAAAAGAAAAAAGGCCGCGCCTGTCGACGGGTCGTGTTTCATGGCCGAGGTCCACGCACTTCGAGCATAAAGTGGCATAAAGCTTTCTCGAATCTTGGACTCATGGTTCAAGTGTGTTGCTTGTAGATGCGGCAGCATGAAAGTAGTCAGAAGCTTGCGCGAGTATTTTGAGGAGCAATACCTTGCCGGAGGCCTGTTCGGCCATGAAGACTACGAATTCATTCAGGATGAGTGGGTCTGGCGGCATAAGCCTTTGGACATCAAGGTCTGGGCTGATGTGTTAGACCTTTCGTCTGAAACTGAGCCGCGTGTCTACTTCCACTACACCAGCCACCTGGGCTTCCGCAACATCACCGACCCTTCCAAGGCTACGGCCGAGGTCTTTGCTTCGATGGTCACGCCCGAACCAGGAAAGGACAAGAAGGGTCTGAACGCTTACTGGGGCCAAGGTGGGCGTCTCCCAACAACAGAGATGCTTTTAAAGGTCGTCCGGTGAAACTAGCAGACCCAAACTTGAGATCCGAGGCGTCTATGCGACCCGACGGCCACCGGACGAGTGGAAAGACGAGGATGAGCGCCCGTGCCTGCATAAGCTCCTGGATAACAACTACGGCAGTACGTACAAGAGAGATCACTACAAGCGATTTCGGGCAGACTACTGCATCCCCATCCTTGCGAGCGAAGAGAGTCCGTGAGGTGATCGTCATCCGAATGCTTAGCAAAGGTGGTGTGTCCAGCGCCAAGGCAAGTCTTCTTGAGGTGCTCTCCAAGCGAACACGGGAGATGGCACACCGACTCACTGACACACCGAACCTGGAGCTTCGAGAAGAACTTTGCAAGGCCAAGTGCAGGCAGAAGTTTCGAAACCCGATGCCCCGTGAAGTTTGTTGGCGAAGCCGTGTCAAGCCTCAAGACACTAGGTGCCCAAACCCTAAATCCTAAATCTTACATCCGGAACGGTAACCTTCATTGCAAGGCCCCGCGGCACCTCATAGAAATGACTCTTCAGGTTGGCGCAAGTTCATGCTCAGCGTGGACAGCTGCCAGAAGCAGAAGATCTCTACAGTGCCTGGGCGTGTCTTCGTTTTTCTGCTTCAAGCGGTGTGGGATGTTTCAAGGACATGGGTCCAGAAACAAAGCCAAGCTGAGTTGTTCCTGCACCCTCGTGACAAAACGAGGGCTTTAGGAATGCTGCGGGCCCTAGTCTATCTCCAAGGCCCCCGCACTCACTGCTCTTTGCCTTTTTTGGGAAGTTGCAGGGCTTCGGCTTCCTGCACCCACTGAGGCGAAGTCGAGTCTACAGCTGCTTGTCTGGCAAAGGAGCGGCAGGCAGGGAGCCCCTGGGCGAAGTTCGCGACAGATCCCAGCAGCCGGATCTTCAAGAATCGGGCTCCTGACACCTTCGATGCCGTTGTTGCATGGCAGGGCCTTTCCGAACTCTACAAGCTGACAGGCCGGCTGGCAGAAGCCGAGGCGCTGAACCGTAAGGTGCTGGCGCTGCGCGCATGGAACCTGGGCGAGACTCACCGGCAGACCTTGGTGTCCAAGCTGAGCTTGACTCAGGTCCTGATGTCCCGGGGTGAGTTCAGGAAGGCTGAGCGCCTGGCCAGATCGACAGTGGTGGATCTTGAACAGGAGATGGGCGCCAGGCACCCGGACACCCTGGAAGCGAGCTTGACGTTAGCGAACATCCTCAAGGAGAGCGGCTGCCTCGACGAAGCCGAGGAGCGCCAGGAGCAGGGCTGGACTACCTGTAAGGAACTCTTGGGATCGCAGCATCCGCGCACAGTGGCTTCCTTGAGGGATTGGGCCGGCGTCCTCTTGGAGCAACAAGATTTCCAGAGAGCCGAAGAGAAGTTCCGAAGAGCCTGGGGGCCACGCACCCTCAGACCTTAGACTGCAAAGTCAGTCGTGCCGTCGCCTTGTCGTCGCAAACGTCGCGCAAAGGTAGGCGGAGCAGCTCTTCGTAGAGGCTTTGCAACAGCTAGAGCAGCTGTTCGGTGCCTCACATCCCGAGCCTCGGCAGAAAGTGTTGCGCAACTGGAGACCCGGTGTAGGTTGTGATGGCCTTCATCCCTGATAGCCTCGGACTTGGAGCTTAGACGCAAGCCTCGAAAGAGAGAAGCCTAAATAGCAAAGGGAGAGCAAGAGCCCTACAGCCGCCTGAAGGCTAAGAGAAGCCAAAAACCCAGCGGCAAAGGACACAGCCTGGTGCTGCTTCGGCTTGGCCATGTGCCTCAGGGCCTTGCAGAGGCCTCAAGAGGCCGAGCAGCGCCTAAGAGATACGCTGGCGAGGCTCCGAGAGTCTCAAGGCCAGGACCACTGGAAGGCACAGCTGTGCCAGGACCGGGGTTTGGGGCTTAGGGGTTTAGGGTTCATTTAGAGGGTGTAGGGTTTAGAGGTTCAATTGGGTTCAGGTAGGGCTTCAGGGTTGAGGGTTTGGGCTTTAGGGGTTTAGAGCTTTGGGCCGGCTTTGGGGGTTTAGAGTGTAGGCTCCAGGACATGATTCGGCAGGTCGCAAGAGTCTCGGGCTGGTGGCCTCTGTTCTGGAAGTCGAGTCCGCTGCTGGTCGTGCTCCTTACGATAGTGTGGAGGGCGCTGGCAATGTATTCCGCCGGCATACTTGAGTTTCACCTTGTGCTGGCTGCAGGCCAACTTTTCTCGATGTTGCTGGTGCTTGGCGTCGGTTTATTTTTCCTCCAGAGGAGTCGTGTCATCCCCACTGCGGGGCCGAAGGAGAAGTGGGGAATTCGGTTTCTTGACCAGCATCATGCGGCTAAAGCCTTTGCGCTAGGGGTGCAGTCGTTGGCTGCATACTTCCTGTTTAGTCTTACATTCTCGATATTTTGGTTCATCCTGGATGCCATCAGCACGCAGGAGGAGTACGAGGACCTGAGCAACCGTTGAACGATTAGTATCATATGTATGTATGAAGGAGGCGTTTTGAGACCTTGTTCTTTCACAGACCGCATCGGAAGGACTCCGCGATCGTGGCTTGGGGCCATCCCACGGCCGTGTGCGGCTGGTCAGCTTTGGAGGTGATTTGGCTCATGTTCGACGTCACCGACCTCCTCGACCGCCGCAGCGGATATCAGAATTGGTGGGCATTGCTCGCAAGCCTGTTTCCGATCCGAGTCCTGCGCCCAGCGTCCC